GATGTTGAACGTGATTGATTCATCCTATAATGGACGATAATCCTCTCAAAGCATTACACTTCCAGGTAATTTTAAAGAAGTTGAGATTGTTGGAGATGGGGAGAGGTTTCAGCTTAGTGTGTGCTGTAATACCCAAACAAGAATGAACTGCCACTGACGAAATAATGAGAGAAAGCAAACATTAATGTCCATAGTTTGGACTGAAGTGAAATAGAGTTTGTTCAAATTAAACCTGGATGTGTTCTGTCTGGTCTGAAGAACCTTGGTGATGATGAATTTTCAAGTGTGTGAAATGGTTCTAATGTGCAGCTTAAAATGAAAGCATTTGTTGCTGATTATACTGCAGCGATCTTTCTACTCGATTGTGTTAGAAAAAAAAAAAGCACAAAAACAGAAAACTGCAGATGAGAGATCAGGTGGGAAGTGTCAGTGTGAAACCACATCAGCACTTATGTGTGACAAAAAGATCACACTGTTGTTTTTTACTTTTTGAGGTTCTTTTTTTTTCTTCGTTTGATGGTTTAACACTTTCCCTCCTCTCTGAACTTCAGGAGACCCCTGCGTGTCAAACCCTTGCATGAATAGAGGGATGTGTGTCAGCTACAAAAGGCATCAGTTCACCTGTCACTGCCAGCAGGCGTGGACAGGACCGAACTGCACCGAGGGTGAGACGCTCTTCTCGGCTTTTGTGTTTCAATACACAGGACGAATGAAATGTTAGCGTTTCATAATCAAATATGAGAAAAGAGCTGAAGGTTGAGATGAGGATCGAGGTTTAGGGATTTTGTGAAGTCTTTTTTTGAAAGTCTGTGTAGCAGTTTGTCACGAGACAGATGAAGAAAAAGTCTATAAAATTAGAGTTTAAAATCATGAAAACATCTGCAGTGTTCTGTCCTGTGTTGTTGTTTTAATGGAGCCAACGGGTTAGATGTGAAATCACAAACACACCGTAGACATTTTTGGCACTTTGCAGCTGTGGACTAAGTCATAAACCACAATCAACTAATCACACAGGACACTTAGACTAATGTTCTGCCAGTGAAGACACCAGATGCAGGTGTGGTTATTCACAATATCAGTTCGCCTCTTCTTCATCTTCATCTTCCATAGGACATTCAAACATGGTGACGAAACTATAATGAATTTGTTTGAATGAAGGCATAGCTCGCTAGCAAGCTACATTCTATAATCTCAACAACTCCACAGTCATCTGTTTGCGTGTTTTTATCAGTTATTTTCTGACATGTTTAATATGTTTGGTATAAATCTCTGAATTCCCATAACACAGACTTTAGGTGTAATATCCTAATGCATGCATGTACTGTGTGTTCAGATGTAGATGAGTGTGAGCACGACCCCTGCCCCGTTGGATCCAGATGCGTGAACACACGAGGCTCCTTCAGCTGCGAGTGTCCGCTCGGCTTCGACCTGGAAGACGGGCGCACATGCACCAGAGGTAATAGTAAATTCTAGTTATTGTTTCTCTAGTTTGTTTCCTCACAGGACGTGTTTTCATAAACTCAATGGTATTGTTCTTTTTCCGTCTGTAGCGAAGATCTTTCTGGGAACCTTCAGCGTTTATAGGCTGCCACATGACAAGAGAACCACCTTGCATGACATCCACAGAGAGATCATTCAGCTGGTGAGAGGCAGTCCACACCACGGCGTCCTCCCTGCTCTTTACAGAGAAAATCGCCACGAGGTTTCTGTGTGTTATATCCTGTCTTTGTCTTTGTTGCAGCTCAATATGTCGTTGTCAGTCCTCCGAGGCTACGGTCGCTCAACGCTGAGTGAGAAGTAAGTCCTCGCCGTCACGTCAGTTTCAGTTATTTCTTCATATTTATTAGAGCATGAAAGGAAGAGGTGGTTAAAACTATAGTTATCTACTCTTTGCCACTTTACTAAAATCCTATTTTTAATGCAAAAGGTAAAAAAAAAAAAACCTGCAACGTGAGACTAACTGTAGTTTCCAATGCAAAATGACTTGTTCTATGAATTTACTTTAACTGAGACAGCCATTTGTCAAGGAACCGATACCTTAAACTAACATGAAGAGATCTCCTGTACAAAGCAGGAGGATCGTAATATGTCTCCCCCTCGCTTACGAGACCAACCAGGACTCTATGCTGACCTCTGATCTCCTCCCCACAGAGAGGAGGACGGGGTTCGTATCTTGGCTGTCAACATGTTTTCCATCTCCACTGATGTGACGACTGCTGAGGTCTACAACAGCATCCAGATGTCTCTGAGCAACTGCAGCTCCTCGTTGGCCCACTGCCGGATGGTCCTGCACCACCAGCTCACGTACCACAGTAAGTATAATAAACAGAGCACAGTCACAGCCAACTGTGTTTTCACACATTTCATACCGTCTCCAGCTGGACCCCGTGTACGCTCAGAGGACGCCGTCAGGAGGGAGTGTGGACATACTAGCTAACGGCCACTAGAGGGCTCTGTTTAGCCATAAATAATCATCCCTTGGACTGTCGTGTGATGTGAAAATGCAACTCAGTTCAACTTTAAAATGTTATGTTGCTGCTATATTTCACTACAAGACATGCAAAAGGACAGAGTGCCATTAATCCTCATCCGAACCCCTTCATGACTTTGTCAGTCAGCATGTTCCTCATAACTTCATGTTATTGTTTTCTTTTATTTGTGCTTTTTAAAAATACCGATGCGTTGGGGACCCTAGGCAAAAAAACACCCAATTCCACCTTTATTTATTTTAATATATGGAACAATTTTAAACTGTCATGGAGAGGATGTGCTCTGTCGACAACCCTACATGCCGCTGCTCCTTAATGCTGCTCTTCCTAAAATAAGACAATGTTTAGAGATAGAAATAAAATACATAATGTCAGGTTTAAATGTTTTTGCATCTTTATGCTTTATTTCACAGTTTAAGACTAAAATAGTGTGTAGAGCATCATCAGAGGAATTGTTGTGCCAAAAGAAGAACATTTTAAGAGGTTTCAGGGTGTTTAGACGACAACAACAAGAATACCAGGATCTGGCTTTAGTAATATTCTGTAACATGTAAAGTTTACTTAAAATGACTGAAATCGTATTGGCATCATTCAGTATCTTTCCAGAAACAATCTTTTTTTTCAGATGATGTTTTGAGAAAAAATAGGTTGTTATTTTGCAGTCATGGTTGTAATTTATTCTTTGGGAGCCCAGATACCCTAGGCTGTAGTCTTTTTATGTTTAGTTGTTTAATCAACAACTGTAGAGGGACTTAAACATTAAAATATAACTTAAAGCACTGTAACTTTACATACATAGCAGTAATGTGTTAAAAGTAGTAGAAGTTAGTTATTGTCTTATGTCTAGACCAGATTGTTTTACGTTGTGATTAATTCTATCCACTGTGTGTTCCAGTGGAGAGTCTCTGTGTGGCTCAGAAGACTCAGTGTGATACCGAACGCTCCACCTGCACAGACAACAGCGGCACAGCGTCCTGCCAGTGTCTTCCAGGATACTACAAGCACAATCCTGAGGACTTGTCCTGCTTAGGTAGGCTCCTTTTTTTTGAGAAACAAGATAATGACTGTTGCCTTTGTTAACTTAAAGCAAGGGTAGAATCTTCTACATTTCACATTCAGTTTGGAAAAATTAAGGACATTGTCTGGCTTTTTTTATGCAAAATTTCAACTTTCTGAATGAAATGTTTCAGAGTGTGGAGACGGCTACAAGCTGGAAAATGGCACCTGTGTCCCGTAAGTTTGTCTCTCTCTTTCATATCTTGTAATATTAATTAAGTTATATTAAAACAATTCCAGTGGACTGAATCTTCTGCTTCTGGTTTTCAGGTGCATGTTTGGATTTGGAGGATTCAACTGTGGAAACTGTAAGTAAATCTGTCAGACCAGTGTTGTTCATAGAAGTTAATCTGACTGTTGTGAGCATTAATGTGTACATGTCGTGTTTAATGGGTTGTTATTTCCGTTGCAGTTTACAAACTGATTGCGGTGGTGGTGTCGCCTGCAGGGGGCGCCCTGCTCCTCATCCTCATCATTGCTCTCATTGTCACCTGCTGCAAGTAAGAGTTGTAATTGGTTTAACTCAGTTTGTGAGATAAAACATAACAGTTTAGACGCTGTCCTTGCTCTACCTTTTTTCAAATAGATAATTTAAAAACAAGAGACACAGAATCCACTAATATGAAACAAGTGTCATTATCTGCATGAGTTCACCCAAATGACAATAAGAAAAAAGAGATAATTTGGTAAAAGAAATCATTTGGAGCTGTGGCCAAAGTTTAACTTTTAAAATGTTTGTTCTTTCAGGAAAGACAAAAACGACATTAATAAGATCATCTTCAAGAGTGGGGACCTGCAGATGTCCCCCTACGCAGACTTCCCTAAAAACAACCGCATATCCATGGAGTGGGGCCGCGAGACCATAGAGATGCAAGAGAACGGCAGCACGAAGAACCTGCTGCAGATGACCGACATTTACTACTCTGTAAGGAAACGCATCTCCCCCTCCTACGTTTGACTTTCATGTAATGCAGGGGTCTCAAACTCAACTTACCCGGAGGCCGCTGGAGGTAGAGTCTGGGTGGGGCTGGGCCGCATCACGTAGTCCACAAAAAAAGTATTCCAAAAAAGTACAACTGATCCAATCATCTCAGTCTTTATTAACAACAATTCAGAACATGAACGGTTCTTCAGAACGTAGGCTTCTCTTACCTCCTCGCTTCCTCTGACACAGCTGAGCCACATTTGGCTTGAGGGAGGAAGCAACTGAGACCCTCAGTGTGGCTTAAAGATGCTGATCAATAAGTTTAGACCTGTGCTTTGACTTATTAAAGCTCATGGTGGAGAAGAGCTTTTCACACAGACAGGAAAAAAACAAACCAAAAAAAAAAAGAAAAAACGCATTTGCACTGGGTGACTGGATATATTTTCCCTCCACTCGGTGACACTTCCGAATCATGTTTCAAGTGACTAACGTTGCTAACTTGTGTTGCTGTCACGAGCCTGAACTATGGTAGCCTACAAGTGATAAAAGAATATAAAACGCCAGGACAGCGACTCGACTTGTGCAGGTGCATGTGAGAAAAATGCGTTAAACTTTGATGTCAAATAGAAGGCCACAAAAAGGGCCGCGAGTTTGAGACCCCTGATGTAACTGCTTTGTTTTTTCGATGCAGCTGACAGATCACTTGATCAGACAAGAACAAACCGCCGCCGTTGATGACGTCATGCACTTAATTGTCTTTCTCTCTGTGCACCTTCCCTCAGCCTGCTTTGCGTAACTCGGACCTGGAGAGAAACGGCCTGTACCCGTTCACAGGGCTGCCGGGATCTCGCCACTCGTGCATCTACCCCGCCCAGTGGAACCCCTCGTTCATCAGTGACGATTCACGGAGACGAGACTACTTCTGAGTGTCCCACCTTCAACACACACACACACACATACACACACACACACACAGACACCCGCTAAAACCTACCATCTTTTATACTTACACCTGATTTGTCGTGAGGATTTTCCGTCACAGTGACAATGCTGACAGACGTTACATAAATCTGCACTGTTTCTGAAAACCCATTTAACTACCTGCAGTCAGAACTGCAAACTACACATGTAAATGTGTGTGTGTGTGTGTGTGTGTGTGTGTGTATAGGGGAAGTACACATTTTTGCAAGTAAAATGTGTTCTTTTGTAACCATTTAAGTGTTTTTGCATGTTTTACCTCATTTCCTTCAAGTCATGTACACTCGACGTTGCTTTCCATGCGGCCAGCGATTTGTTTCAGTGTGTCAGTGATCCGTAGCAGCAAACGTCGTCTCTGCCTCTCCTGTTGTCGGACTTGTGTTGCTGCCGCCTGGTAATGCGCTGCGGATGGAAATAACCTTTCCTACATTAATGCACAGTAAATAAAATGATGTTCCCGTGGTGCTCACCAGGAATGGCTGACATGCGTTAGACTAAAACATGCAAAAACACTGAAGTTCCTTGAGTGCTGAAATATAAATATGTGTGTGCCACTGCTGTGATCTGAAAATCTTCTTAGAGAATAAAGTCTGGATGGAACACGACGATAACGAACCACTGAAGGATGCACAAAATTTGGTTCCGTGCCAATAGAAGCTGAGGAAAGACGTTTTTAAATCAGATGTTTATTTATTCCACGTATGGCCAAGCTGTTGACATGTAGCATAACGGACATCTCATACATACACGCTGACGGACTTTAGAGGGATGAACCTGTGGCTTTAAGTGTGTGTGTGTGTCTACATAGTGTGTGTGTGTGTGTGTGTGTGGGAGAGAGAGAGAGGACGAGTGTGTGTGTTTGTTAAAAGTTGTGGAGGTGTGTGTGTGCATGTGAGGAATAATTATCTGTATACCGGAATGATCATAACTGTTTGAATGTAAAGATGTATCATAATTAGCTATTTCTCTCATGGAGTGTTATTTTTATGTGAGTGTTTTTCCTCCTTTGTGTTTATATGGTCTGTTGATTCTGGCGTTTTAGTCAGATGTGCTAATTTAAATAAAAAAAAATTTTGCACAGCATTTTTTTTTTTGTCTCTGACTTCACTCTGGTTGAAGCAATCTGAATGTGAATATTGCTGACACAGATTGTATTATTTAAAGCTGCAGTAGGCAGAAATCTGGAGAAATGAAATGCCAGAATTTAGGAAATCCCTCCTGCAGCTCATCAATGTATTACTCAAAAGTATGAAATGTAAAATGAGCGATTGCGTTAGTTTTTACCCCCTTTAAACTGATTAAGCTTGTTCAACACAGGTTAACACAAAGTGAAATGGAGATATCTGAGAGCACTACATGTGTCTCAAGTGGCTTTAATATGAGGAAACCTGTCTGTGAAGATTCTCAGGTCGTGGTTATTCTCATAGATTAATCGTAGCAACTGGACTTGCTTGAATTCCTTGAAGACGTTTCACCTCTCAGTCAAGAGGCTTCATCAGTTCTGACTGACTAATTGGGAGTTCCAGATACGAGCCATTAACACCTGAGTTTCAACTGGGGATTTGTTGCTCCTCCCTCTAGTTATACAAGTCATTAGCACTCCCCCTGCCACAATGGGGTTTGTTAGGGTTCATTAAACTCCTTACCAAACATATATATATAAGGACACCTGTATCTGCAAAGTGCAGTCACTGGTGAGTCAGTACTTCTTGTTATAACATCATGACGAGAAAAGAGCCCTCTAAGCAGTACATCCAAGGAGTTAAAGTCATCATTCAGAGGAGATGTTGCATATAGAAATTACTGTCTGTTCTTCCCCGGTCAAAACTTCAGGAAAACCACTGCTGGGGGGGAAAAAACAAAATAAATCAAATTAATTGTAGGTTAGAGTTCAGCAGGAGGTATGTGGAAGACTTTGAAGTCAAATGAAAGAAGGTTCTTTGGTTGGACGAGACCAAAAGTAGCTTTTTTTTTTCACCATTTGATGCTACGTTTGATGGACACCAAACACTGCACATCATCACAACCACATCATCCCCCGTCATGAAGCATGGTGGTGGCAGCATCATGACGTAGGGATGCTTCTCGGCAGGCTTGTAAAGGGAGAGGGTAAAATCATTTGAGTAACTTACAGGGAAATCCTGGATGCAATCTGCAAGAGAAATGTACCTTGGGAGAAGATTTGCTTTCCCGCAAGAAAATGACTGGAAGCGTACAACCAAAGCTAAACCGAAATGGTTTAAAGACATCAAGGTAAATGTTTTGGAGCGGCCGAGTCAGATCCCAGGAAAAACAGCAGAAGGACGCTGTATGTGGACATTCCGCCTTTGTGGATGAACTCTGTTCCACTGAAGTTCGTTTCCTGCACGTGTTAGCCATAGCGGTGGCAACCTATGGGTCACCACTATATTTGGGTACAAGCTGGGAAAAACCCAGGTCTGAGGTAGCATGGAAAACTTTACCTAAAGCGGAAACAATACATCTCTCCGATATTTAACATGTCTTCTTCGGTGCACTTGCTGTGATCAATTTGTTTATTGGATATTTTTTAGATATTTAAAAAAAAACTGGCCCAAATCATTTAAATGCAGATCCCCATGTGGTCATATTTTTTTATTTTTTTATGAAGGAAATTCTGATTGACTAAGAAGCAGAGGACAAACTAAGAAGAGAACAATTTGAAGTGCAAACGCTGCATTGGCACGCTCAGAATTTCTTCAGAAGTTTTCTAGTTTAAGATTAAAGTCGTTGTTTGAACCCCACATAAATAAGTTTGACCAAAAAAAACCTAACAAAAGGTTTTTTCATGAGTTAGAGCAGGTTATGCTTTTGACTGTGTGTTTTACTTGCTTTACACTTCGGTGATGATTTACTCACGTAAAAAATACTAAACAGCTACAAATATCACTCGGTGCACATCATGTGGTCGGTCAACTGTTGATAAAATCCATCCATCCATTATCTATACAACGCTTAATCCTCACTAGGGTCACGGGGGGCTGGAGTCTATCCCAGCTGACTCAGGGTGAAGGCAGGTTCACCTGGACAGGTAACCAGTCTATCACAGGGCTACACTTAGAGACAGACAACCAAGCACACTCACATTCACACCTACGGACAATTTAGAATCACCAATTAACCTCAACATGTTTCTGGACTGCCCTGTGATAGACTGGCGACCTGTCCAGGGTGTCCCCTGCCTTCGCCCTAAGTTGGCTGAGATATGGCTCCAGCCCCCTGCGACCCTAGTGAGGATTAAGCGGTGTATAGAAAATGGATGGATGGATGGGTTTCCTGCGGCAGTCAACGTTTTAAGGCATGTTATTACACCTTTACAAACATATTGGTGAAGAAATTGTTTGGTTACTATTTAGTTGGCAGATTTTGATAATGCTTCCCTTACTATAAGGAGAGAAAAAAACATCACCTGCAGATTATATCTGCGTGCACAGATGACAAATGTCAAGTTTGTTAATTATCTTAATGTCCACTCTTTGTTTCTTTCTACGTCACAGTGTATACACAAATGTCTGAACTTGAATCCTGATTTGGGCACAGGGAAAATATTTCAGTGTAGCCTGTCTAGGTAATGGATTATGTAAATAAATGTCTTGAGTTCAATACAGCTCAGTGGATTTCTTTGGGGTCTTTAAATCAGAATAAAATGCTGTCATACAAACAGTTGTTTGTGCCGGTTATGATTTAGGGTCCTGGTGAAAGCACATTTCTTATGTAGTAATGTAGCGTTCATTTCTTCTACATACAGATTACATTTACAGACAAGTAATCCTACAAAGATAATCTTTCCTCTCCCCTCCTTAAGGTTGTTTCCATAATGACAACAAGTGTTGTGCTCCATTTACTTTGGCTTTCTCTTATAAGGCTTGTCTGGAAGAGGCCTGAACACACACGGAGGCGCAGCTACTTGGGAATATTTGCTCTTTTCTAAATCACCAATGGCACCATATTTCTTTTATATGTCTGAGAGGGTCTTCCTATTGACCAATGGACCTCTCGTCTTCCTCAACATCATTGCAAACATCTTCTACGGGTATTGCTTGATTTCCAGCAGACGGAGACTCAAGCGGCCCTTAATCGTACTGCTTGGATTGCTTGTCTGGTGTTCTGCTGTTTATTGCATTTCTTTAGTTGCAATGTATTGTGTGTTATACCAACAGACAAGCTTCGCAGCGTTTATCGTGCCGTGGACGATTGTGCAGTACTACGCTCACAACAGCATGACGTGCTATGTTTGGCTGAACTTGTACTACTACATCCAGATTGTCCCGTCACAGCGAGCTCTTCTGGTCTGGATCAAGAAGAACATCAGCTCTGTCATCTACGTGGCTTTGGCTGTGGATATGATGCTGTTGTTGTTTACCAGCGGTGTCAGTATTGCAAGGTCATTGTTAACAACTTCCACTTATGTCAACAATACATGGACTGGATTTGTCCATGAGGAACTGTTAGACATATACCAAGTCAATTTCTTCATCCTCAGATCGTACATCTTTTTCTGTTTGTGCGTTATGATGGTTTCTAGCTTCTGCACGGCCCGCTACCTGTACAGACACATGAAAAGCATGGCGCAAAGTAGCAGCAAATTCACCTCTCCCAAGATTCAAAGTCAGAGGAGAGTCACCATCACTGGGATCTCGCAGGGAGTGCTTTTCTTCCTCTCCGACACCTTCTATCTTATTGATTCATTCGCTGCACTCTTTCCCGCAGGCTTTTACTTTAGCGTCTGGATCTCCTTCACGGCGGTCTCGCTGTACATATCAGGCACCACAGTCAACCTGGGTTTCGGTCAGGCTATATTCCGGCAAAGGGCAGTCAATGTCTGGAAGGCCATTAAAGCACTGTTTGGTGTTGGCATGGCAACTAATGATGTGAAACTGCACTCCAGCCAGCTGACATCAGGTGAAACAGCTAATCCTGTAACTACTGTCGAGACGTCACTCTGACACTGTGTGTAGAAATACGGTAGTTTTGCATATAACTATTTTTGTGTAGTGTGAGTGAGGTTTAATTCTGTTGTGGTTTATGCAAATTTAAAAAATATGTCTACACACAGCATGACTGAAAAGAAAAGAAACCAGAGGACGTCAGAAAATATGTTGTACATGATTTCTGGTTGAGCAGAACGAACCACTAACGTCACACGTGAAGTCCATTTGTTCACAGGGAGGATTACTTAGTCTGTAAAAGCAGATCATGTCTGTTGTGATGCTGGAGGAACTTTCCAATGCTTGAAAAAAAGAACTCAGATGGCACCATCAAGTGTATTTATTCTGTCTCTTGTTATGTTTCCATTGCAACGTGTCATACTAAAAATGCTTGGTTCCCCTTTTAGGAAACTGCTCAGTCTTGTTAAATCAGATCAATACATTTGCAAATAATGTACAAAATTGATTCTCTTAAAAAAAAAAAAAAAAAGCAGACTATTGACTGCATACTCATTTTTATGTGATTATGAAATAAATATGGTTCATTTGCGTACTCTAATTTGCATGCAATGCAAATATCCCACATTTGCTACATTGCACAGAGTTGGAGAGCACAAAAAGGGGAAAAGGCATCAAAACAGACACAGCAATGAATATGAAGATGGATGAAAGGCTTTGTCCTCCAGCAATACGCATCTGAATTGGGTTCTTTTCAAAACAAGGACGGTGAACTTTGGAGAAAAGAAAGAAGCATATTGACTGATAGACTGAAACAGACCAGCACTACTGCGTCTTCTTCGGTTTTAACACGAGGATGGACCCTCTAACCTGCGTGGCGATCAACTGGCCTTTAGTCCTTTTTAACACCGTGGCTAATGCTGCTTTCATCTTTTGCTTGGTCCGTCCACTTCATGGAGAAAAGATCAAGCAACCTTTGAAGCTTCTCCTAAGCTCCTTGAGTTGCAGTACTTTTGCTTTTGTGGTATCAGGTATAGCACTGTTTATTGCTGGGCTCATGACGACTAGCTTGTGGTTCATATCAGTCTCATCTGTGGTATATATTTGCAGTTTTTTAATTGGTGTGGCCTCCTCTGTTGGGCTGAACTTCTTTTACTACACCCAGATTGTACCTGTACGAAGTGTGCTCTTTACCTGGATTAAGAAGAATATCAAAGCCATCGTTTTCTCTTCTTTGCTTCTTGAAACAATATTCAGTTTGATCCTTGCTGGTTGTACTGTAGGAGAATATCTTACATTGGCTAATCTCATGTTTGATGGTTTCAATCACACTGTAACACCAAATAACAATGCGATGTATTTACTAATGCCATCAATTGAAACTCTGACAGATGTGAATGTCATTGTTACTACCATACTGGAGGTGCACCTCATTCTCTGTCTGTGTGTTTTGGTGATGTCCAACGGTGCGACTGTGGTCTACCTGTGCAGGCACATGTGGCGTATGGTAGCCAATGGACAGCCCCTCTCCAGCTCACGCTTCAGCAGTCAGGTGAGGGTGACCATCACTGGCATCCTCCAGGGAGCCCTGTCCGTGTTCTGTGCTGTGTGGGTTGTGCTCAGTTTCTTTTCAGATAATGGTTCCTCCACGTCTAGCAAATTTTGTGCAGATTTGAGCTTCACCAACTTGTACGTGTCGGGCACCACGCTGTGCCTGGGAACCGGTCAGGCTGTGTTCAGGCAGAGAGCAGCACACATCTGGACCAGAGCGGCTCAGTGGTGCAAAGCTCCTCAAGCACATGGGTCGGAGCACGGAGCCTGATTCAGAAGCTCGAACCCGACGACGAGGACACCTGCGAGGTTGACCGAGGACATCGTATGAATTTGCATGGATTAAAGATTTCTCTATGACAACAATTCTAAATATCTGCAGTGGTTCAGTTCAAACTGAGAACAACATGAAACGAACTAATGTTTTCTATCATACAAACCATAGCCGTGTGTTTATTAGCTGGTTTTTGTCAATTTAATCTCAAATGAATACGAAAAATCATGTTATAATGTTGATTCCTTGATCTCTGTTTGGATGACGAATCAGTAGCTGGAAATGTTGATATATTAAACAGAATGATGAAAAACAAAAATCTGTTCCTGCAGTCTTCTTTAGAAAGCGGTTAAGACACCTATTTCCAATGTATTTGAGAGAATTTAGAATTGCTTAAAAAAAAAAAATTCAAAATCCAGACTGTAAATCATTTTAGGTTTAATTCACAAGACATCAGCCAGTTTCATACATTTACATTAATTAAACCAAAAAAAGATGATTGATTGATGTGTTCTTTGTTTACGACAATTACATGGTAGCAGCATTGCATGAACGCCTCACCACAAAGATAAATGCACATTTGAGTGCAAAAAAACATAGGCACTGGTCTACAGAAATGTGTGTGGGGGGGAGTAATATGACCAGATGAGTCATCCTTCACCATATTCTCCATAAGTGAGTGGGGGGTTCACTGACCCGGGGGCCGCTGCTGATCCCTGACTAAGCATTTGGCCACATCGGATCAGCTCAACTCAGTCATCACCAACATAGCGCTCATTTGCACCCAAAAAACAATCAAGCTTTAATTTGATGGTCCTTGCTGGAGAAATGACATTTAAGGACAAAATACAGTGATGACAGAACAATGAAAATTCTCAGAATGCATCACACAAAAACACAGAATAATGTTCTTTTTCTGGGGCCATCCGGGATCTTCCTGTGGGGAGTCTCCATGTTCTCCCCGTGCAGCGTGGGTTCTCTCCAGGTTCTCCAGCTTCCTCCCACAGTTCAAACACTTGTTGAGGTTAATTGGTGATTCTAAATTGTCCGTAGGTGTGAATGTGAGTGTGCTTGGTTGTCTGTCTCTAAGTGTAGCCCTGTGATAGACTGGTGACCTGTCCAGGGGTGAACCTGCCTTCACCCTGAGTCAGCTGGGATAGACTCCAGCCCCCCATGACCCTAGTGAGGATTAAGTGGTGTATAGATAATGGATGGACGGGTGGATGCTCTTTTTCTGGGTAATTTCACACTGATTTTCATATTTTATTTGCATGTAATGCAAACACCTCAAATCTGCTGTGCGGCACAGAGTTGGATTCCATCACTATCTTTATTTGTCGGAGCCCGACAAGGGAAGAAGATCCCAATATTGCTCTAACACAGAAAGCGAAGATGAACTATCTGACATTCGTCCTAATTAATGGGCCTCTTCTCGTTCTCAACATCACAACCAATGCTTTTTACACCTTTTGCATGGTCTGTCCACATCAGGGTGAAAAGATCAAGCAGCCGCTGAAGCTTCTCCTGGGAACCATGATATGCAGCTCGACTTCTTACGTGGTGTCAATTTTGGGCGTCTTCCTTTTTGAGCTGCGAGAAGAATTCAACAACGTCCGTCCAATCCCACTTTTGATGTCGATCTTCATTCTGTCCACCAGTATGAACTCGTCTGTTTGGCTGAACTTCTTCTACTACGTCCAGATTGTACCTGCACAGAGAGCGTTCTTCCACTGGATTAAGAAGAATATCAAACCCTTCATCTACTGCATGTGGCTTATGGAAAAGATTTACAGTTTGCTTGATTTCACTGTTGTGGTTCTACAGATTTATCATTTTAAACACTTTGGATTTAATGAGACTCTGACATGGAATGATGGCATAGCCATGCCGGACGGAACTGTCTTGATGTGGGGGGACTTCATGTTTCTCGTCTTGATTTTCTTAGTCAAGGTTCACTTCTGTTTCTGCCTCTGCGTTATGATGAAGTCAAGTGTTACTACTGCAGTGTACCTGTGCAGACACATGCAGCGTATGATAGCAAACGGATACCCCTTGTCTTGTCCATGCTTCAGCCGTCAGGTGAGGGTCACCATCACCGGCGTCCTTCAGGGGACCCTGTACATGTTTTGCTCTGCGTGGCTTATGTACATTTTTCTTCGCCGGAAAATCTGCCCATTTGTGCATTTTAGTGTCATCAGCTGGTACATGTCAGGCACCATGCTCTGCCTGGGAGCTGGTCAGACTGTGTTCAGGCAGAGAGCAGCAGACATCTGGACCAGAGCAGCTCAGTGGTACAAAGCTCCTCAAGCAGAGCAACGAGCCTGATTTAGAAGAATAGAGATGAGGTGGACCTGGCATTTTATTTAAATCTATGAGGCAAACAAACTGCCCCTAAAGTATGCTGTATGCATATCCTGATGGGTAACATGAGCAGATTTTATTCATATAACCCAACAGGAACTCTTTAGCTCTTTCTTCAAACCATAGCAATATATATACAATTAATACATATGATAAATGTAGTGCATGTTTTACACAGGTTTTAGTTTACTCAAGCAAAATATGCAAGTGTTTCTTTTTACACGTCTGATCTACACACAGTCAGACGGCCATCAGAGGAAAATATTGTACTTGGTAATATAACTTACTATTTCTTTCTTATGTTTAAGACAAAATGAGTTGCTAAGTACAGAGTTTATAGCTGCACCTCGACCAGCACATGCTTCAGCAGTAATACTCTTTTACATTTATAATGGTATATCACTGATTCCTGCATTGAGTGCTTCAACTTTTGAAACTCCATCAACATAATTCTACGGATGTTTTCTATGCAGCGCTACCCACAGTGTAATAGTTTTAACTTAAGAACTGGACGTGAATATGTCCTCCACCACTGTTGGTATGCGCAAGATGAGATTCAGAATTCAGTTTGCATAACATCAAGTGTGATAATATTTAACCGTCAGTGATTTTGGTGAAAGGATACCTTCTGTTAGAAATATCGTAGCTCAGATTAAACACACATGGCTGACTCAAGATGTGCATAAAGGGCTTTGTGTGGTACAAGTTGTTGAACTGTGTGAACAGCAAATCATAAAAATACTTTAACACTTAATTTTTGATTGTTTTATGTTGTAGTTTGTTGCATACTTTGGTGGTCGGACTCACTGAACTTTAATTTTCATCATTACAACATATCTGAGCGTTATTTGCTGAGCCTCTAATGTGTGGCTGGTTTGTTGCTTCTTTCTGTCAACGTTCCACATTATGGGGATTTTATGTAAAATGAAGAGATGGAAGAATGTCTTTCCCGGTCCACCTTCCCGTTTCCCTCTAGCTCCACCTTGCTGGCAGCTTTTCGTACTCTGTTAGCAGCTACAGTAGTTCCAGCTGTTGATTCAGCTGCTCGTAAAATTGAATCGGTATATCGGGTAATATTTGTATTGCATAAACATGAGAAAAGATCTCACAGTTACAAGATCTGTGTTCACTTATGAGGAAAAACATCAACTCCGGATGAGTGACCGTGAGAAAAATATGTGTTGTTCATGTTTACAATAAAACGCTTATGTAAACTGTTATTATGACAAATGCATTATATACTTTTAACCTTGTCATGACTGGTTTTCACTATGGTGGACAATTCCTAAGCTTGTTATGAAATGAAAATGAAATGAAAAATACTTTATTTATCCCAGAAGGGAAATTCAATCTTGTAAAAGCTCACTTTTTAAAAAAAAAAATCAATATAACATATATTATATACAACAATAATAATCATTCAGTCAGTCGGATTTGCAATGTCTTAATAATGTAATGTTATGTGAGCTTTGTCATTATTATTATTATTATTACTTAAGTCTTATTTTAGATTACTTCTCTTTATTTTTTGTAATGTATTTATTTATTAGGCACTGCATTAGTTTAATGTTATGTATTTTTTTCTGAAGAATATCTGGCACAAGAATTTCCTTCAGGATTAATAAAGTTCTAACGTATCTCGACTCTCCTGTCTTAATATTTGTGACCTCGGTGGACGGTGGTGGAAATATGCCTGTGGAATCAATTTTGAACCCAAATTTCACTCAATTATCAATAATTCATCCATCAAACGGTTAAGCTTTAGAAAAATGATCCAAACGTTTCAAAAATGCGTCATCTAATGATTCTGAGAACTCCTATTATGAGACAGAGGCCTTGAATGCATGGATCCTAACTGGAATCTTTAGTGCTGCAACTAGTAATCTCTGAGATTATTTAAATTAAAAGATATTTTGCCTAAATGTTGAAATCATTGTCAAACTACAATACACACAATCCATGTCTTTTCTTTGATGCTTATTATTTCTCGTGCTTATTACTTAATTTCATCTTTATATAGAGTTTTTTAAATTATTTATTTATATTTTATATCATATTGTATATAGTTGTTTACAAAGTTTTTATTTATTTTTTTGCACTGAAAGGCATGCACCTTACTTTTCGTTGTAAGCGAATCTGAATCTGGTGAACGCTGTGAACGCCTCAGCTACATAATCCAACAGTAAGGAAACTGCGAAAATTTAATCTTATAAGTGGCTCTTTTGGGTATAATTAAACCTACATTTTTTACTAAAGTATTTTAATGAATAAAATGTAGGTTAGTGTAAAAAAAAAAAAAAAAAAAAACAGCGAATTTTAATTTTTCATTATGTGTGTTGTCAAGTCCGAGCTTCTGCGGAGTCCGTGAACGCA